TTCAGGTGACACTGTAAACAAGAAGTGGGTAGCATTATCTCCTGCAAATGTAAACAAACGTGTTTGTCTGAGCAATTGGCTGAACAAGAAGAAGATTAATTATTTGTACAATGACCAAAGTATGCTAGAAACCTCCCAGAACAGATAGACGAGGGTCCTGGCCTGAGCAGATTACAAATTATAGTGTAGACAAGCTTCAAATAAATGAGGAAACAATGGGAAGGTGTTGGATAGGGTCACAAAAACAATACTTCATGACTCGTGTGTCATCACATGACAAATTCAGCCAGTTCGTGGAACCCTTATTGGCAGTTTCAGCAGAGGCTCCAAAGATTGAACAGATATGCAAAGTGAACTACTTTCTGCGTGTTAGAAAGGCACACAGTTTCACGTTATACAGGAAAGCTTACATGGGTACTACTCATGTACAGAATAATATGCTTCATTTTCCAGTGTTGTAAAATCTTAAAAATTCCATGAAAAATAAAATGTAACTAACAAAGAATGTGGCACATACAAATCCCACCTTTTGATGTTAATTTACATTTTCTATGGATAACATTTAAACAAACCTCAGAACATAGCTATTTAAAATTACGTAGGAGAAATAGTTCACCATAAGAGATGTATAATGAAGCAGGAACATTGCTGCTAAATAGGAAAACAAAACCTACTGAGAAAATATATTAAATGCTAAAACACTGTTCCTGTAATCAAAGCAAAGTACCATAACCATTTTATGGTTAGACAGTATTTGGATTTAAAATAGTAGGCTAATCAATTGATTTCTATTGGATTTATTCACCTTCCAGACAGGGATAATGACATTCCCAAATACAATTAACACAAAAATATTTATTTTTAACTTTAACCACTTAAAGGTCCTTAATATTAAAGACTTAATGTAATCACTATCTTGTTTTATGGAATATCAACTAGCTGTACATCAAAAGGCCACTTACTTAAAATAATCATTTGCATCAAACATTATGTGAATTTACCAATGAATTGTATGTGCATTGTTATGCATTCAGCAGTGCTATGCATACATGATGCAAATAAGCATATAACCACATCCAAAACTATATATAACCTTGTAAATCACATTTTTCATCTCACAAGGTACAGACAAAATTCCTCCCCCAGTATTTGGCCAATACCACATTCATGAATAGCATGAGGGTCGTTAAACTTAGAAAACCTTTTGAGTATCCAAAAGGTAGCCTGTAAAGGAATGATTTACAACTTATCTGATGAAGTGAGCTGTAGCTCACGAAAGCTCATGCTCAAATAAATTGGTTAGTCTCTAAGGTGCTACAAGTACTCCTTTTCTTTTAACTTATCTTAAGCAATCCTAAATCACAACAAAAAGAGGGGCCAGTCACTATGTGAATTCAATTACATTCTTTCATCAACATCAAACCACTGCTGCAGACAAAAGAAATGATTCCACTAAACTTTGGAAATGAACTGAGGACAGACTGTGAAGCATAAAGGAGGACGCACAACTGAATTAAGTGTTTTATTACAAGAACACCAGTGAAAATTATACACAGGAAGTGCCAAACACATAAGCACACTATTGGTAATATTTCCATTTCTCACTTACAATTATACATATTTTATCACTACAACACAATCAGTGACAAGAGTCACATCTGCAGCATGCAAACTGATACCAGGGGAACATTATTTGATTCAGAAGAGCCTGAACAACTTTGGATTCTTATCTGAGCCATATGAATATTCTCTTTCATCCCACCTTCTTCTCCAGATCCCTACTAATTCCTTCTCAATCCTGTGATCTAGAATCTGATCCTGCTTCACTTCCCTTCCTCCGTCTGAGTATAATCAGCTTATTGACATAGATCCCCCAACTCCAGCCTACATCCTAACTTTCCCTCATTCTTTATCCATTCAGCTAATGCCTACGTTGCTCTCCCCTCTTCTATTCTTCTCTCTTCCTGATCCAAGTTCTGCCCCTGCTTCCTACTTTTCTGGCCACCCACCAAGTGTTATTGTGAGGTTTCATAACTGCAGGGCCAGCTGCTCTTTACAAATCTCATGTATTACGTGCATTCCTATGCATGTCAGGGGCATGTGATAATTCAAGAATCTCTGTACTCTGCTTTGACAATAATGTAAAGCACCACAAAGTGGCCAAGTATTAGAATTATTATTATGCCATACACTCTGGGGCTCCTCCGAGAAAATTCCAGAGATAATGAGTTCTGAAGACAGCTGCTTGCTCCAAACACTGAGGCTCCATGATGAATCTGGCAGGACATCACTAAAGGTGTGCATGGTGGTGGGGAGGAGGGGGGACATAAAGGGAATGCTAGAATGTGAGACACAAAAACAGAACACAAGCAAGAAAGAGAAAAGGAGTAAATGGGTGTGGGAAGGGGAATGGAGCCTGAGATCAGGCAGAGACCAGATTGTAATTGGATGAAGAAAGGCTGTAGAAGAAAGAATGTTATTTCATTACAAACGCATTGCGGGGGAGATGGCATCTCTAGGGACCATATTAGCAGGAATCCCATCCAAAGGACAACTAACCTAAAACGAAAACTCTGCTCCTAACCCAGTTTGCTAGTAAGAGGTCAGATATTGATCACTGGTCCAAAATATTTTTTTTTATAATCTTCGTATGTTTTCCTGCAGCTATAACAGGATTTAATATTTTGTATAATTTTCATTAAGGTATGCGTACCATTATTTCAAAGTAACAATGGGAAGGAATTCAGTCGGGCTATGCAGTTAGTATAACACACACATAATTAATGATTATTAATCAAATCTGTTTTTCTGATATCATTTATAAAAGATAAAAGTTCTTTAGGAAGGTAAGGAGAGAGATGGAGGGTTTGAGAGAAGGAATGGCCACCACTGTTATAGCATTTTAAAGTGCAGGAATAAGATGATGTAATTGTGAAGTCAAATTTACAGTTTAAATTAATTGATCTTCATCCTGTGAACAACTTCGTTTCTGAAATAAGTTAATGAACTATCCGCTTATTCCAGCTGACTCCTCATACACCTGACTCTTAACACTTTAAGCAGATGGTGGAGGCTTAACAAATATTCAGGCCATATGATTTTGTGTATAAATGCACAAATTTCATTCCTTTCTTGGTCTGCTCTTATGCATTTTCAGATTAACACCAACAGTACATTGATGATAGTTTCCAAATAAAACAGGGCAGTGGATGCTCCTATTTCTTTCAGTAAAAATTAATTCATTATTTATGTTTGCAGTACAGTAGCACACCAAGGCCCCAATTAAGATTAGAACTCCATTGTGCTAGGTGTTGTTTATTCCAGCTTTTATTTTTAATACAGTTCAGAAAGATCTTACAACAAACACCGTAAATCTGACAAAAGCATCTTGGTAGATATTAGGCATTCTAGAAATCCTTTTTCTTTGTTTGCCATATAAAACTTCTTATTTTTGGTCCTATTTAAATAGTTTACTGCTTAAAGCTAACACAGCTATCTATTTGAAGTAGAGCTATCTTAACCTTTAATAGTCTCTGTGGAGTAAAATAAATCAAATACCCAATTCAAGAACTAAATGGTATGCTTCCCCCCACTGCCACCTAATTAATACGAAATGTTACATTTTGACATCAACTCACTCATTGAAGCATACTGCCTAAAATTAGCCATGTCACATACATTAATTTTGCTGTTGCCAAGGGACTACTGAACTGAGCGTACTTGTTTTAGTCTAGTATTTTAATATTGTTGCATAAAGCTTTTTGCTGTGAAAGCCAAGAATTCCCCACAAACCATTAATCTAAGTTGTTCTACTCATTACCGTCAGAAATTAGTTTTTCTAAAATATGTAGCTCAGAAACTGCTGACAAACTACTTCAAATCAATTTTTTTAAATGTTTCTCATAACTCATTGTTCAAGGCTAACTGAAAACTAATTAAAATTGTCAAGAAAATGATTTGAACAAGAAGAAAAGAAAAAAATGTCTACACCAGTGAAGAGGAAAAATTGATACTACTTGACTGGATCTCTGCTCTTGAATCTGTTGTCTTTATTGTTTGTCAAATGAGAATTCCTCTGCTGTCAAAGGGGTTTTTGACCTTTCAAAGCATCATATGTATGTCCCTATCAGAGAGCAATTGTCCATGTTCTTGTCCAGAACTCCAAGAACATTTCACTTCCTTTCTGAATGGAGAGAAAAGAGCTCCCTAATCTCTCAATACAATTTATTCCCAAATTAAATGTCCATGTAACTAGATAACCAGAGAGTTAAAACATCAAGGATTTTCATCTCCCACTCTGACAGGAAGGCAGGAGGACAAAGAATCAAGTCAAGTGACATACGATAAATTATATTACACACAAGTCATTTTCCTTTCTCTAACAATAACACTACCTACATTAACTAGATTCTTATCCTTGGAAACTGAACACCTTCAAAAGTACATTCATCAAATTGTAGACAGCAAAAACCTGTCCAAATACCCCCAAATTTGGGAAACTTCCTGTTTGTGGAAGGAAAGAGATAGGTAGTACTGCAAGCAATGCAAGTGTTAAGATATTGCATCTGGCCCCTTATTTAGTCTTTTTTTTTTTTAAGTGTTTCTCTTCAAAACAGTTTGCATTACCTTTCAATTTGTTTTAAAAAAAATACTTAAAACCATTGTTCTCTCCAAGATTTTTTCCCCTTTGAATATTCCTTTTTACAAGATTCCTTTCCACTACTACTACAACATATTAATTTTTATTCCTTCATTCTAGTTTTCTTCTCTCTTTCCTAATTACAGGTATCAAAGTTTGAAACCTTTTGCCTACAGTTTTAAGCATAACAAAAACAACTTCAGTTTGCAGAATGTTCTGTCACACAGTTACCCAAATCATTTCGAAGAGCTAAGTACTACAATTGCAATAAGATTTAGATGAAGCAATGTTCTCTCAATAGCACTGTCACACAGTGCTACAAGCTAAAATGAAAGAAAAGGAGTTTGAACTGAAAACAAACCTGATGGCATCCACGGATCAGATGAGGGCTTTAACAGTGTGTTCACCTGGTCCCAGTTAAGATCATCATCATCAGATTGACTATATCCACAGGAGCTAAATGGCTCATCAAAAGAACAACCTCCTGTAAAATAAATGCACAGGTACAAATTAAATCGAGCAAGCAATATCAGATGATGAGTTCTATTTCCTTTCCGAATCATTTGGATACCAAGCTGAATTTGAGTCACAGTCATGATAGCTTCACAGAAAATAGGAAATCTTTTTGCTGTGGAAATCTAATCTCAGAGGGGACAAACATGAAATTTAGAATTTCAGTCAATGTTTCACGTACTATTTGGCGTCCAGTACAAAAAACAAACAAAAAAAGGAGCCCAAGAGAACTCCTTCAGCACTGAGCACTGGCTGGAGCCAACAGACCTGAACATCACATCTTTGAGAGCAAGCAAGGGAGAAGAAAACAGGTGGCTCTGGAGAAATTTCTCCAAAAAGGAATAGTACTGTTTCTGTGTTTTCCTTCCCTTCCTCCTCAGTTGTCCAATCATCAGAGCAGCATCCTTGTTTCGGGGGACTACACCATTCAAAGGCAGAGCAGAGTAAAATAAAATATCAAGCATATAGAAGAAAGAAAACCTAGAATGTCTGCTCACTTTTATAGTTGCCAGAGCTTTATTTTGTTAATAGTAGTGTCACTCCTCAACCTCCTGGAGAATACATCATTATGAACACAGTAAGGGTCCAGCAACCACAAAAGAAAATAGAAATTCTTTGTTTCTTTCCTCAGGTGTGTAAGCTTTCTTAAAATGGCCTGTATGGACAGAATTACTAAAATTTGTTTATAAAATGCTATCTTTCCTCCTGAAGTCTGTCATTTTACTCCATGAAAATGAACCTTTGTGGACAAAATACAGCCCTAATCATGCATACTTCAGTCCACATTAAAACAGGTGATGCACTTGTTCATATGAAACTAAACTTTGGGGGCTGACCCTCAATTTTGAGACCAGACTGTACAGATATAAGAGACCTAAATTTGCCAAGCTTCACTGAAAAGGGAGCTTCAAACAAAATATAGATACAAAACCTTAAAAAGAAGTCCCTAAATTGCTCCTACAATATTATTAAATCCATGACTAAAGAGTTTCCAAAATACTTTATAAGGAAATAAATGAGTTATGGATAAAATAACCAAAATATTAGCAAAACAGTCTTACTACAACCCACTACTGCCTTCCTATTACATACTGCTGGCTCATAACTGAGAATGAGACACATTTTGTGAGAATTGTAACTATAAAATTCATTTTGCATTAACGAACAGTCAATAAAGCATCTCTTCCCTCTCCCCCCCCCCCAAGTACTGCCATCTGCTTTCCTTTTATTGTGAATCTCACTTAACATATTGTGTATGTCCTAGTTCAGAGGCATAGGTCAACCTACACTGTTCTAAACTGTGCCATGTAGAAGTGTCTTATTCATTAGCTCTTGGTATGCCAGGGAAATTAGCACCAATGGAAACTGTATCTTTCTGTATCACTTTTAGGAGTACAAGTCTCAATTAGATAGTCCACTGGGTACCAAAAAATTCATTAAAGAACTTACAGCACTAAACTCAATCGTTCACCTTGACAACAGATTTAAGTCATCACTCTTACCAAATTTAACAAATTCAGAAATAAAACAGATTTGTTGAAAGCACACTAAGCGACATCTGTAACATTTGTGGTGAGAAGATTTAAACTATTATGCAGCATTTGCACGACATATGCTCTAATGTTTGCATAAATATTGCTTGATGTAGTAAAATTCATCTAGGTGCTTAGTTTCAGACACAGAACAAAGTAGACTTGACCTTGCATTTCACTATTTGAAGAGAAAAATATGCATGAATTTTTATAGGGAATGTCCCTCAGAAAGAGATCCAGAGAAAAGCAAGGGAATGGTTGAAGGGATGATTTACAAAGTAAATCCTGGAAGAATGCATATGACCAAATAAAAAAAAAGTTAGCAGTACGCTAGGGTTTACAGTTAAAATTTATGGTGTATCAATTTAATTCTCTCCATTATGAAAAGGTCTTTATGCATTGAAATGGCACATAAAAAGTCAGTTCTTCCTAAACCCAGGATAAGAACAGTGCTCCTACAAAGTCCAATACTTGTGAAAGTGAAGATTTTGTGAATTTTATATTGCCATTAGATGTTTCTCCCCTTCTCTCCAGTTATGAAGTTCACAGAAATATAGATAAACAGGACTGAAGAAGATGGGAAAGACCTACAAGTCTATCCATGCCATCTTCCTCTGCCAATGCAGGAGCATTTCTCAACATATTTTCTACTGTTTTCCATCATTTCTCGTGTTAAACTATTGCAAAGTCATACATCAGGAAGTCTGATAACGTTTGTTATTGTTTTTTTTCCTATTACTGACCATATGTGTTCCCCAAATAACTGCTCTTCATCTTTTGTATTTATACCCATCGAACACTTGAATGTCATCACCTTATATATATATATATAACACCTCTTCTAAAAGTTAAATTAATCCAATCTTCACATATAGACTATATGTAAGAGGAAGACTTTTACATTCTACACTGCCACAGTGACCAGATTATCACAGTAAGATAGCCTAGCCTTAAATAGTTAAGTAAGAAAACTACTGACTGAAGTACATGAGATCCTTAATAGCATAGATGTCAACCCATGTTAACCTCTGCATTGGTTTTCAGAAGATAAAACAGATTAATAAATTGAGCTAGACAAAAACTGACTTATTAGGAAGTGTTTTGTAGATTAAAAAACTGTGTCTCATATGTATATTGGGTGCACAGGAAGTTTCATAAGCTGAACTAAAAACACTGAAAATATTTGAGAAACAGCTGGAGAGCATAACAGAATGAGAGAACAAAGTATTGACAATCAAGAACCATGGCAGTTTGAATGGCTTTTATTTGTTTGCAGGTAATTCTGATATTCACATATAATTTAGTTAGAAATGTGGCAAAGCTGTTCATAAATAGGCCAAAACAGCTGACAACAATATCTTTACACTAATTGCTAGTCACGCTCTCCATCTTTCTACTCCCTGTTCTGGCACAATGCTATTACTATACTTGGTTTCTATCTGCACAAAATGAAAACTGAATGCTTTCCTTCTGCACTGATGTTCAGTTAATTGGACATGATATAGACAAGACAACAAGGAAAAATATGTATCAATATCCCCAAACAACCTTAGTTCCTCATGTTTCTTCCACTGTTCTTAAAAAAAAAAAAACTTACAACCAACAAATTAGAGGACTGTTTAAACTCAGCTACAAATGTTTGATACGTTTTACTTAAAATCATTATTGTTCTATTTAACTGAGTTTATTTTAACAATTAAAATACAGACTATATCACCTTCTCTAAATCATGTTTTCACTTCACTTCTGAATTTAATTGACAAAAATGATAAAGGTGTATAAAATGCATCCTAACTTTAATCACGTCACATTTAGTGATACTGAGCACAGCAGAAACATTCTTTTAAAAGCTATATAATTTAATCAAGCAAAGCAATTTTCCCATGTTACCCTGGCATTAAAATATCTACAAGCTGAACTATATTTTAAAAGTACTATTTCTAGACTTACTGAAATATTTTAAAGAAAATAGGATGTATCTGTTCCATTAAGGTTCTCTGGTTTGTACTGCTTTTATACAAATTTGTGGATTCTTGAGAAAAATTTTATGGACAAAGGGTCTATTATTTCTTGTAGATATTAAAAGCTGTGGCATTCAGAATGAATAAAACTGTCCCCAGTAATTGTAGTGTTTCATCCAGTTCACTCTATGCCACTGTAGAACTCTATTTCTTGAGAAAAAATGTTCTGTTTTTACATGGCTAATTTATTATAGATCTTGAATATGTTGTTGGATTCAGCCAGAAAGTTAAGATAAAATGAAAGCTATTACTGACTTCATTTTTTCCAACAAGAATTAAGTTTTTTCAAGGTATTTATTTTACATTCGGCTTACTGTATGAAGGATACAACACAATATTGACTGTTAAAAAGACATTCGGGTTCGGAATGTGACACAATCCAACAAAGAAATTCGAAGTTGAGCCAGACACTTTGCCTTGATCCTGCTGTGTTTACATAATGCAGGGATCTCAGATTTTTATGTGGTGTTTCATCCAAATATATGCTACAAAATGTAAGGGTAATGGGACATGTTATGGCTAGGAGTATCAGCCTTAAATGTTAGTTTCTTTGACAGGGAAATGTATGCAGGCTAATACAATGCACCATAACCAGCAATGCAAATGCTCTGTGGCAAATTACAGCCAATTTTTACTGTAAGGCCCTCTGGGTTTCTGCAGCACTTCTATGAAAAGCAAATAGAAAATTCTGTGGCAGAGATAGGTAAACTCAGTTTTTGAGTTTATTGAATTAAACACGAACATGAATAATACAAGTAAAGCATTATTTATGTCCTAGTTGATATTAATTTTAATTTACATTTTGTTGTCCTCGAATTTTCAGGGTTTAATGTGGCACAGATGGTTGTGTTGTCGAAACATAACCACACTGTATGAGTTGTTGGGGAGGGGACAGAGGTTTTAACAGCTGGTTCAAAAATATTTGGGGCTTTTGGCAGAAGAGAAGACATAGGAAGCAATTTGGGCTCTTAGCACCCATGAGGTATTGGTGGCTTTTGGTAATGAGGAGGGGAAGCAATTCCTCTTTCCTCAGTGACAGATGTGTAGGACCAGTGGACTTTTTTTTTTCGGGGGGGGGGGGGAGGAGAAGGAAACCTATCTGTGACCGGGTGCCCCCTGCCCTTGCAGCCCCCACAGTCGTACTACACCCTGCACCAGGAAAGGAGCAGCAAAGTTGGGTCCTCCAGGCCTGCCTAGAGAGGCAGCATGGATGCAATCAGAGGTCAGCAGGCTCAGCTAAAAGGCACTGCAGGGGCTAAGCAGTTCAGTTCCTGGCTAGGGCCACTGGGGCAAAGCAGGGTGTGCCTTGCTGGCCACAGAAGCTCAAGAGACAACCAAAGTTTGGTTTTGGCTGCATTTGCTTAAACAGAGAGAGAGGGGACCTGAGAACTTTAACACTGAGCTAAGGAGTGAAGATA